CAGCCAACCACTTTTTTATGCTCAGCCCGTTAAGGTTCCTGGCACCTGTACTGCCAGACATAAGTGACACTGAAGAGATACTCGATAAGAATCTGGTAAAACAAGATAATTAACCGGAAAAACCAACACTCTTTTCCTGAATCCATCAAAGAGAACATTGCCACCACAGAGAACGATGTTGTTGAAAAGTCGACCTTGCATACCTTAAACACAAACACTTCAGTACACAAATACAGTGAAGTAAATGAAGAGCGATGAGCAGATTAGGCTTACAGTGAAGTAATCACTACGCAAAAACATATAAACTTTTCTCGCAAGACATCTGTTTTAGCCGGTTTTTCAGAACACACTGTGTTTTATCCGATCGTAAAACAGGCCGGCGCTTGCGCCATCCGGAGCCTATTAATCTGTGGACGTTCAGCCAAATGTTTATCGAAATAAGTGTAAGGTGATGGTTCCCAGAAATGGCTTGCGTGCATCCAAACCAGGCCGTTATTTCATTGAACATGTGAAAGAATCCTGAGCGACAAACACCTTTATGTAAGGTGGTGTCGGTGGGTAGTAAATGTCGAAGCTCTTTGGTATCGCTCATTCCCTTTTAAAATAGTCGCAATTGTTTCAAGTAACATAAACTCGCCTATTAAGATAAACAGATGAAGATTAATAGCAATAAAGTAAGCTTAAAAAATTGCGCGACAAAAATCACCATATGGACAATTTTTTACAGCTGCAGCAATGGCTTCCGGGATGCCCATCTGAGAAATTCCGATGTCTGCCGGAGAAAAGAGAGTTTCCGGAACGGCGAATCTTTCTACATTAAGCCTCAGCTTCTGGAAATCGTCGGTGTTGCCAGTCTCAGGAGTGCGGATGAATCCACGGCTGTGCGTTGCAAAATCCGGAAGGATGTAGTCGCAAACAACCGTATTCTCACTTCCACAGCATCTGAAATCATTTTGAAAATAAGCAGACACTGAAAGCGGAAAAACGAAATAAATTATGCGTGCTGATGAATCAAGTGCCTTGGACTCTTGGCTGCTACTGGAACCTTCTTCACTCCGATACACTGATTACCGCGTCTCTTCCCGTCACACGGTCATTGCTTCCCATTGTCGCACGATGTTGAATAAGCACCAGTGCAGATGAGAGGGGCCCGGAACAACATGAAATGAAGAAGCTGCTGTTGGCGCTACTGCTCAAATTATCACCAGTGCGTTATCGTACGAAGCACAGTGATGCTCCATCACAGAAAGATTAGGGCACAGTTTCGCAGTGGGAGACTGCAAAAAGCCAAGCCCTGAGACCTGGTACCCCCTCAAAAACTTACTCAGCAATTTTCATATGTTTTGTAAAATCGTCCGCAACGAAGCAAACATCTTCCTTGCATTCATTCAACACATAGGTTTCTTCCATCACGTTCAACTGTCTATATGAGATCCATTCTTTCAGTAAATTTGTCAGCACTTTGCCTCCAATATCTATCCTGAAAAAAATACAAAGAATAGCTATCAAACAAATTCAAAGGGTGTTTGCTCTGACCGCACCATCCCTGTTTTTATCGACTTTCATCCTCCAATTCCTTGTCGGAACATGGATGAGAGACAATTAAATGAACGATGCAGACAACGGGGATGAAATAAAATGAACATGATCGGCGGCGGCTGGAAAGAGAGGCGCTAAGGATTGTAAGAAATTTGCCGTTCGCCAGATAACCTTAAAATAGCATCACGTATTGCTTTCCCTTTGTAGTAGGGCACGATATGTGTAAATGAGAATCCCGAATCCACAACAACACAACACAGTTCATCTTTGTATTCTTGATCCACTGTATCGGCCAATGCAACAAGCGAAGAAGCTGAAATCAAATGCGGCAATTCTCGACAGTCCCATCAAATGCCAAATTTGAAAAGTTTCAAATTCGACAAAATCCTGTCTTACTTTTGCATCGAGCGCGAAATTAACAAAACGCTGCAAATAAAACAGCATGCATTTCAGTTCTACACAACAAAAATGACGAGGCCTGATATAAAATTTGTGGTTTCAATAATGAACTGCAGCACGGTATCCTAATGGCCAGATATTTCGTCTGCACATTCGAAACTTTCCTCTCTCCCTTCTTTTAGAACAATTCACATTCTTAAATTCGTCCTGCCAACAGTACAACTGTCCTGTCCTACTGACTTGAATATATTCTATTTGTAAAGGAATCCATGGAATATGGCCACAGATAACAGAAATCCATGAAAAAATGAGAAAAAGTTGTAGTTTACGGTGAAATAACGTTACTCAATCCGGAAAAAAAAAAAAAAAATTATCACTAAACGGCTTCATCAACTAGGTGCATTTACACAGTGGCAACAGCGTGTTTGTAGATCTACTAATAAACGCAGGAATTTACCGCTTGCTTTGGCTAGTGAATGGAAACCGTACTGCTCGAAAAGTATTTCATCGGAAAAATCCCGTATTGCCGGCACATTGTAGATTGGATCAGTCATAACGATACGTGTATCCGAGAATGAGACATTTAAAGCTTCTGCTCCAAAAACACGGTCCCAGATTTTCTGCTGCACATCCCAGTTTACTGAAATAGCATGAAAATAGCCCAGTCTCAGGGTACAGCCATGAGTGTGAATCAAGCGGTTAGAAAACGAACAAATCGGCTGCGGCACACTGCACGCCAAACATTCCTTTCAGCATGTTTGTTTATCAATAATCGTTAAAAGGGAGAGACAACTCAGCGCTGTCACTGGGAGCTACTGTTAACAAAATTCCATCATTACAGCTACTTCTGGGTACCGCCGACTTTCACAGAGAATGAAATATCAAGAAAGATAAGACATTGGATACTGTGGATTTTTTGTTTTTTTTTTTTTTTTCTAAATCGTAATTGACAGTATCCTGAAGACTGAACAGTTCTAGGAGAAATCTTTTAGTAAAGAACCAACCAATGTAACCCTTTTCAGCAGGTGATGAGAAAAATATACTGGAATGATCACGGCACTCGTCGACCTCATCGGCCACATAAACTCGTTTCCTCTCTGACCTTGTTTTCACAATCGAGTTTGGAAGCAGTCTAAAATCAAACAACAGAACGTCAGAAAGCAAGCAGGTGCATATTTTGTCATAAACAAGCGAAGGATTAGAAAACATCCGAGGTCAATCGATCTGTCTAATCCTCGTCCAAAATGCACAGCAGCCAGTCTCCCACAGTTCGGATGAGGAAGAAAATCGTTAAAAAAGCGTTCAATATAATTCGTCATTCTGATACAGGGCAAATCCCAAACATGGCTAGTATTCTAAAGGAAGAGGCAAGCTATCGCATAAAATCTGTTACGACTGATATGCGACAGAATAAATTTTGTGCGATATTTTGGGCTTATTTTCGCGACAGAAAAATGTATCACTTGTAATTCATCTCAGATTAGTTCACTCCACCACTTAGCTGCCCCTAAAAAGAGGGAGGAAATGAAGCCCAGGGACAGAGAGAGAGAGAGAGAGAGAGCGCGATGAGACGAACGAACGAAAAAGAAGTTTACGAAGTACCTCGGTTTCTCATCGGTAACATATCCAGCTTTGATTGTGCTGCATCCATTATCAAATATAAGCGTATTCGACATCCCACTGCAAAGCGCTTCCAGAACACACAGCTCTTCCGGCAAATTTTG